AAAACAACTTTTCTGGGTGTCTGGTTCCCCATTTTAACCTTCATTCATCAGAGGAAATACAAGCCACCATAATGTGCCCCAAGTTTGCGATTATTTTTAAGCGTCAAAAAAGGATGAATCACCCTCCCACCCCCTAAAAGGATTAGAACATTTGGGGATCCACAATCTCTCTTAACGCAGACAGTACACGGAGCCGCTGAGCCACGCCCCACTCCAGGCTGCCCGGTCCCTCCTCTTGCCCATCTTTTTGCTCCGCCTCTCTTTATCTGGGTTTCCTTCTCAACACGCCCCCCGCCCCCACAGTGCCTAGGGTCTTCACAGGGCAGGTGGGGCCGGCAGGCGGGCACTCACCCTCGGGGGGCATGGGCCCACTGTCGATGCTGCCCCCGTGGCCCGGAGTATTGCAGAAGGGCGGGGCCCAGCCCGGCAGGCAGTGGCAGTTCTGGTTGTTGTTGCACACCTAGGGCGAGGGAAGGGCGGAGGTGTCAGCACCGCGGAGAGCGCCGGCCACTCGCAGGGCCCTAGTGTCCCTCCTTCCCCAGGAGGGAGGAGCCCAGGACAGCACGCACTCACCCCGTGGCCGTTGCACTTCTTCCCGCAGCCCTGGGTTTCAAAAAAGGAGGTGTTCCTGCACTGCCCCTCGAAGCAAATCTGCAGCGAGGAGAAAGCAGGATTTAGTACAGGGAAAGGGACAGTGGGTGGGAACTAGGAGATGGGGTTTCGTATGCAGAGCACGCAAGTGCCCAGAAGGACAGCCCGCTTCGGGTCATTTATTACAATGAAAAATAAAAAACAACCCAAAAAGCCAAAGACAGGACAGCAGACTAAATTCTGCTTTTACTTTTGAGATTAGGGGAAAAACAATGAACATTATGCTGTTAAAATATATTTAACAATACAGGGTGGACATAAAGTTCATGTGCAATTTACCATGTGAAACTTTTAAATTGTACACGAACTTTATATCCACTCTGTATAATATTAAATATGTATTATTACATGGTACATTACTGTTAAGTTCATTATGTTGTTTACTTATCTATTAATATGCACTCATTTTAATATTATAATTAAAAATAATGATGGTGACCACAGCCTACTCTGTGCTAAGTACTATAGACCAAGTGCTTCATATGGCTTTTATAATTTCATTGTCACATTAACTCTATGAGATAGTTGACATTGATTTCCTCAAGCTTCCTGGACTCCTAGTCCAGTTTTAATTCATGTGCTAATTCAGGATGAGTCCTGCACAGAGGTGGGGAACCTGACCCTTCAAGGAAACTTGTGGCCTTCCTGGCAGTTAAAGGCTACCTTTTGAGTGGATTCAAATTGTATAGAACAAATGCTTTTATTAGAAGTGGTGCAACAGAGGAAGGTGAACCTTTTCTTGCCTCCTTTGGTGCTTAAAAATAACAATCTTGAAATCAGAAGGCTGCAGGTTCGCCACCCCTGGCAGGGATTCTCTCCTTGACCTGTCAGCCAATTCTGTGGGGCAGGTGGTTGCTGTCACTATACACGCTTTATAAAAGAAGCCGTTGAGGTTCAGGGTTGGGGAGGCTGGGGTGTGAGCCCAGGCATCCTCCCTCCAGGACTCACGCCTCTCAATCACTTCTCCCTGCGGCTGGCTCTGAGTTAGGATGGGGGAAGCGACTCACATGGTTGTAGCCACATTTGGTCCCTGTCATCACCAGGCCTGGGTCCAGCATGTCACCCTCCTCCTCGGGACCCCGGTAGACATGGGTGCCCCGGCACTGGATCTGCCTCCCATTCATGATGATGGTCGTGTCGATAGGCACCGCATTGGACTCCAGGGGCCGGGCCTCAGAGCTCTGACACTGGATCTTCCCACACTTGGCATCTCTGGGCCGAGAGAGAGTGTGAAGATGAGGGAAGAGCTGGGCACCAGAGGGCTTCAGTTGTTTTTGACCAAGACAACAGGCTTGTGTGGGGCAGGGCAGAGGTCTAGCGTAGTGAGTGTGCCTCAGGAACCCAACAGGAGGGACTCCGTGTGGACTGAGATCAAGGGAAGGGAACAGGCTACTTGTCCCTTAGCAGACCCAGGCCAGGGAACTGGCCTGGGGAAGTCCTTACTTCAAGGACAACTGCCTGACCTGAGCAGTCTGCCCTTTTTGCTCTTCACTCCATCATCCACCCAGGAGCTCAAAGAAGCCAGAAGCCTGGGATCATCTCTGACTCCCCATTCTCCCTCAGTCCTGGGTTTAAGCAGTTTTCAAGCCCTGTAAATCTTCCCTCCTATGTATTTACCTTAATTCGCACTGCCACCCCTCTCATCAGGACTTCTGGAAACTGCTTTCCCTGCCTCCGGCCTTATCCCATAGGAGTCCAATTTCCACATGTCTTTCAAGCTGAAGTCCCAACTTCCCTAGCCACGCATTCAAGCTTTTCAAAATCTGGTCCTTGTTTAATTATCCAGGCTCATGTCTCAGCAGCCCCCTCTCCACTGTACCCCAACATTACACCTTAACTGAACCAAACTGTTACCAGTTCTTCCAAGTGCTAGTTTTTCTCAACTCATGTAGCACCACTCTCCATCTTGTTCACTTCGGTAAATGCTCCAGATCGCAGCATAACTGTAGGTGTAACTTCCTTTGGGAAACCACCCTCATGCACTAAGTTGGGCTGGGTGGCTTGTTCCACATTCCCACACTGTATTGTTAATTAAAAGTTCCATGCACTCAGCCTAGTAATCTTACATATGGGAAACCCTCAATAGAGAGTGGAAGGATGGACGAGTAGAGGGATGGATGGATGAGTAGATGAGTGGATGGGTGAGTGGACAGATGGAAAGATGAGTGGGTGGATGAATGAGTGGGTGGATGAATGGACAGATGGATAGGTGAGTGGATGAGTGGATAGATGGATGAGTGGGTAAATGGATAGCTGGTTGGAATAAGTAAATGAATGAATGAACAAGTGAATAAATACATGATGGGCTATTCAGATGAAGGCATAATTAGCACCTCTAGAAATGACTCAAAAAGGCTAATTCCTGCCCCACTGTAAGTCCCCAAAGGAAACCTGATTAGCTTTCTAGGAAGCATTGCCGCCCACAACCCCCTCCTTGACTTCCGTAGGGCTGAATGGTGCATTGTCAAACAACAGGCTAAGAATAGATGACTGACTTCAACTGACTTATTTAAATGCCCAGCTCTGGGTTAAGCCACACCACTGAGCCAGGCAGGAGTAGGGAGGACAGTAGGGAGGACAACTGCTTTGTCACCCTATGTTGTAGGGGCTGCCCTCAGGACCTCACCTCATGTTGCACTTCTTGTGTTCACCATTCATGTCCTTCCCACAGTTTCCAAAGGTGTCTCCTGCTACATTCACCTTCTCAAAGCAGAGATCGGGGGCAGGCCGGGCTCCTGGGTGAGCATGAAACAGCGATCAGTACACTTCCTGTCAGAAGCCCCCTAGGACAAAGCTACCCTTGTAAAATCATCAAGTTAAGAATGGTTTATGGGAGGGAATACTCAGCCTCACTTTCTGGCACTCCTATCAGGTTGTTTGTATCTCCATACTCTGACCAAGACCTAGCCCTACAAAATGTTTTACGTCAGTTCTTCCGGCCTTATTGAAGATTTCTGTCTGTGGTTTGCATGCTATGCCTGCTCTCTAATGAAGAAGTCCTGTCCCATTTCAGGATTTTTAAAAATAGGTAATACATGCACATAATTTTAAAGATATAAAGTATGTCTTTGGAATTTTTTCTCATAGCCATCCAGTTCCTACTTCCCTATGTCATGGAGAAACTGCACTTATTCACAACAGATTTTCTAGAGATAATTATATTTCTATCTTCTGTATCCCCTAGATACAATTCCGTGTGGACCTTATAGAGATTATCTAACAAAGACTGAAACCATATTCTATGCACTGTTCTATAACTTGCATTTTTTGCTTAATTTATTGTGGAAGATGACCTGATTCAGGGAATACAGAGCTGCCTTCTTTTATTCGGTCACATAGCATTGCATCATATGGATGTACCAGGATTAATTTAATCCATTCCTATTGAGGACACAGAGGTTGTGATTGCTGCAACTAATAATGGTGCAATGAACATCTCTGTAAATGTATCTTCACATATAAGTGTTGAATACGTTTCTAAGCAAGTGGAATTGATGGGTCCAATAAGCGCATTTAAAATGTTGCTATCTCCAAATAACCTTCCATAAGATTACCATTGTTATTATTATATTAACTTCTAGTCTGATACATAAAAAGTCCTACCTCATAGTAGCTATAATGTGCTTTCTCTTAACATGACTGAGGTTAAATGTTGTTTCATAGCTTAAAGGCCATTTGGATATGCCTTCCTGTCTATATCCTCTGTTCACTTTTCTTTTGGAATATTTTTATCCATTTGACCACTCAGAATAAAAAGCAGCAAGGGATTGGGAAGAATGTTGTCCACTGGCCTTCCCTGAACATCTACTCTGAGTCAAGGGGATAAAAGAGTATCTGGGGGTATCTGGAGGTGCTGTTTTGCATCTATGATTCTAAGCTGCTCCAAGGGCTGGAGAGGGAGGCTGGCTGGGAAGTGCTGGGGTGGGAAGAGGACCATGCTCCCCAGGAGAGCCCTTACCAGGCCCCCACAGCTGCTGGCACTGCTCTTGGTAGGTGAGGCACATGCCATTATAGCAGTAGGCCTGGCCGCCCTCACAGGAGGTGCCGTCCATCTGGTAGAAGTTGGTGGGGCAGTGGGGAGACTTGCCCGTGCAGAACTCCGGGAGGTCACACTGCCGGGCCTGCTCACGGCACAGGGTGCCAGGAGCCAGCAGCTGGGCCAAAGAACAAGAGGGAAAAGAACAATTAATCTCCTCCCTGCCTTCAACCCTATCAGCCAAGGACTTATAAGCATCACTCTTAAGGAACAGACTTTTCCATTCCCATTAATTCACAGCACTTTTTACATGACCTCATTAGCTCAAACCATCATCCACCTTCTCATAAGAATAGTGACTGAGAGTTTTCAAGGTGTTTTCACAAATGCTAACTTATCTCCTCCTTATAGCAGTATAATAGATAAGAAAGAGTATTTATGCAACAACTTACACTTTACTACATGCTTTAGTAATAACAGCTACTTTTAGGCAGTTTCCACTTACATGCCCAGGACAAATATTATTTCATTTAGTTTTCATGATAGTCTTATGTAATATAATTTTCCCTATTTTATGATGCAAGCTGAGGCTGATAGAGATTAGACAACATATTCAAAGTCTCGTAGTAAGTGATTGAGGCGCCAGACCCACTCATATATAGACACAAACACACACACACAAACTAGTACTCATATTACATCTTTGAATTTTCAAAGCTCCTTAGCAAAAAGCATCCCCATTACAAAGCCAGGCACTGGGCTGAGTATCTTCTCTCATCTATCTCACAATACCCATGAGATAGATACTGCTGTTTGCTCCACTTTGCAGATCAAATAACCTGATCAATGATACCCCTTGGAAAAATGGCAAAAACTGTCTTTTCACTTCAGTCTTATGGCCTCTCTGAGTGGCCCATGTTACTAATGCTCTTCTCACTTTAACAGATAAGGAAGCTAGTCTCAAATGGTTAGTAGTTTGCCCCAAATCACGCAGCCAAGGGTTTAAGTCACAAGTCTCAGACACCAGGGAATCCTTTCTGAGGCTCAAACTGAACTCCTTGGACTGAAAGAAATGGTGACACTCAGGCTGATTCTTAGGCCTTCCACCGAGACTAGGACTAGGCTTAGCATGGTGAGTTCCCTGTGCCAGGCAAGGAAAACTGTGACTAGGAATAGTTTCCCCTACTCTTGGGTGACTCCACACCACCCATAAGGTCCTCCCAGGAGAGAAGGCAGACAGGCGTCTTTGCTGGCCACTCTCAAATTGAGAATGGGCCAGCTGAGTGGCCTGCTGAAAGAGGTTGTGAGGCTGGCAGGTAGCATGTGCAGAAGGGTGCAGCGGGACGCACCTCTCCCACCCTGGAGCTGGTGGATTGGAAGAGCCCCGCCCTGCCCAGCCCACCTGCTCAAATGCCAGCCCCTTAACCAGCAGAGGGGCCTTGGGAAGGGCACTTAACCTCTTTGTGTTCTCTCTGTGTTCACTTGCCATAATTCAGGATAATAATCCTCTCATGGGATTATTAAAAAGCCTGAATTAGAAGAAAGTACTTGAACAGTATCTGGCATATGATGAACACTCAGCAAGTGGGAAGCACAGGCCCACGATTCCTGTCTAAAACCTTGGGGCCAGATGGGCTTCAGACTTCAGATTTTCAAAAGCAGATACCATAATACATATGTACATGGGTATCGATATATAATTACATACATGCATACATATATGTATAATATGTATACGCATTTTGTACGTGTATAAGTACATATGACTACATATATGAAATTACATATGTATATTACCCAGCCACCCATTAAGGCCTGGGATTACACTTTATGATCAAACACATTAATATTTCTCCAATGAAATGTGAATATTCAGTTTAGAAAAGGCTATAAATATCTCATGTCGATGTAGGACAAGTTTGGTCACCAAATGTATTTAATTTTTTGTTTGCAGTTTTCAGAACTTTCTGAATTTCGGAATCATGAATAAGAGAGTGTAGTACTGTGTAGCACTAGTAGTCTTAGTATTTTCTGTCTCCCACGTCAGTGTCAGGGAGGTGGGCTCCAGGGAAAGCTGCCCTCTGTCCTTTCCTGACTGCTTCATTCTGAATAAGCCACTTTATTACATCTCAGTTTCTTCATCTTTTTTTTTTTTTGAGACAGAGTCTTGCTCTGTTGCCCTGGCTATAGTGCCGTGGTGAGTTTCCTCATCTTAAAATGAAGGTAACAGCATGCATACGTTTTATGGGGCTTTTATGAAGACTGACTGAGATAAAATTTTCAGCATAGTGCCTGTCGTCTACTCAGTGGTCCATTAATGTTAACAAAATTATAATAATCATTTTTATAAGCACAAATAAGATCAAGCCTTCTCGCTCTCTCTCTCTCTCTCTGGACACTTCTTTACAAAAAAAGAAAAATAGCTGAGCGCAGTGGCTCACGCCTATAATCCTAGTACTCTGGGAGGCCAAGCTGGGTGTATTGCTTGAGCTCACAAGTTTGAGACCAGCCTGAGCAAGAGCAAGACCCTGTCTCTACTAAAAATAGAAAATCTGGGGCAAGAGGATTGCTTGAGCCCAAGAGTTTGAAGTTGCTCTGAGCTATGACGCCATAGCACTCTACCCAGGGCAACAGCTTGAGACTCAAAAAAAAAAAAAAAAAGAAAAGAAAAGAAAAAAAAATAGAAAAAAATATATACAAATATAAATATTTCAACCCCCTCCAAGGAGGCACCAAGTGTCTGGGATGACTGATCCTTGTGAGGACAAAGTTGAGGAGAGTAAACATTTTCAAGGGACCTTTCCAGCTCCAAGTTTCTGACACTCTGAGGCCATCCCTCCCCCAGGAAGGAGGTGAATCCCCAGCAGTGCAGTTGGCTGAGGGATCATAGCCCCACACAGGTAAAGGGCCACTTACCTTACACTGGTAGCAGCAGGAGCCATGGGCACACTCCGCCCCTGCCCTCAGGGTGCAGTTAGAGGCATTGCAGCAGGGGTTGTTACATTCCTGGGGAGGCAGAAGTGGGGTGAGCAGGTGGGAGGCTGGGAAGGGAGGGCTTTCTCCACCCCAGCCCATGAACCCAGCCCCAGCTTCTGATAAGCTTTACAGCTTTATTGCTAAGCTAATGTGCATTTATCAGAAAAAATATACATATTCACAATTATCAGCTACACCACAACTGAGATGCTGTTACATATTGAGTGTTTGACTATTTTCCCAGGCATATATATATACACACACACATATATATATGCATATATATACACACATATTTATAACAATATATATGCACACAGCAATATATACACACACCCATATTATAACAATCGTTATTGGTGTATACTGAGTATTTTAATTTTAATAGTTTTTTTCCTTCCTTAAAATGTATATGTGTATATGTCTTTTTGGCATCTTCCCGCATATATACTGTATTTTACAAAGTAATAGTAACCCCACTGTTGTTAACTTCATATAACATGCACATTTCTCCTCGCCACCGCATATTCTTCTAAAACATGACTTATAGCAGAGTGTTGCATTATACGGAAATCGTAAGGTTTGTTTCTCCCATCCCAGACAGAACCTCCAGACACTCTGCCTTCCTCAGCTGCCATCTCCACCCCACGCTCTCAGGCCTCATTATTCCATAAAAAGAGGCTGTGGGGGTGAGAATGTGCTGGAACAACCTCTCTGAACAGTTTAGGTCAGCCCCTGGGCCTGTTTCCTCAGAATTCTTCCTCCATCTGCTGGTCGTCCTAAATCCTCCCTGGCTTAGACCTTTCCGGAATAGAAGGTCTCTATGGTTCCCTCTCTCTTCCTTTCTGCTCCACAGCCTGAGATTTTTAAAATGGTGATGAGATACCCCAGTGACTCTGAGGGTCCTTATCACACTCCTACAACATTCACAAGCCAATTCCTACGCCATTTCTTGACAATGTGTGGGGCTGGAGCATATCTCCATCACAGCCTTGTGAGGCAGCCTTGTCCCTGTTCCACATTCTGGGAAACTAAAGCTGCATAAGTGCAGTGGCTGGCCAAGGCACACACCTGTTTGGGACCCTCTCGGTGGTTACTGACTGTACCACAACCATGGCTGGCCAAGGGTTTAGCAGGTTGGAGAGACACGTCCCACCATCTGCTGACACACACCTGTCTCCCCTAAGACAGAACAAGGACATTTCCCTCCCTTTGGTCTCCCACCACCCTGGACTCTACCACACCACACTTCCTCCCACCTCTACACGTGGGCCCCTCCTCTACCACTTCCCTCCTCTTGCCACTAACACAGATATCTGATATGCGCACTGCGGTCACTACCCACCCAGGCAAGCCAGCTCTTTCTTACCTGTATCTGCTCAGAGCACCATGTTATTTGCCCTCCTGGCACTCACCATGACCTGTATTTATATGCTTTTGCAATTATGTGGTCAATGCTTGTTTCCTCTACTAGACTATCAGTTCCCCAAGGACAGGAACTCTATTTCTGCCATCTACCCTGTCCTGAGCCCCCAACACTGTAACCCACACCCAGAAAGTCTCTGTTGAATAAGCTGCTTCTCAGAATATAAGCCAACTGGCCACGTCCACTCTCAGGATGCTCCTCAGCCCCACTGGGCCTTCCGCACTAATATAACTCCTTTTTTTCTGAAGGGTCTGGGCTGATTTCTGAGATTGGGGGTGGTGGTGGTGTCTTTAACTCATTCTTATTTTATTCTGAGATTTACATGCTGGTGTTAAAAAAAGAAAAATCACATCATAGGGAAGGGTATAAAATCATTTTTTCCACATATACAGAGCTTCAGTTTCACCCTCAGTTTTCTTGTATTCTAGCCCAAATTGTTCTGCATGCGTTAACATACATATTTTCATCCTTCAAAAAATAGAGATGAAACAATCCAGTTCTGCTTTTCTGCAGACCAGCATGCATTTGTTAAAAATGACAGAGCTCTGCTATGTGCCCTGCACACTCACTTTGAAGACCAGAAGGAAGGAAAGAGCTCATACACAAACAGTCCGGCTCCTTCTTCCTCCCAGCAGCCCTTTCCAGACTTGACAGCACTTCCTACATCCCCTTCCAACCATCTCTTCTCCAGGCTAAACAGCACGAGCTTGTTATTTTAAGCGTCTTCATAAGGCCCATGTTCAAGTCCACATATCCGGCTGTGTGGCCTCCAGAATAAACTCGATGCAGCTGGAGGGCCCAGGAGGCATCTGTTGCCCCACTGGGGAAGAGAGAGCCAATGTGCCACATGGTTGTGGTTTCTGGTTACACCAGACACTCATAAGAGGAACTCATTTTGAGCACAAACAGTGCCAACCACAACCTGGCAGAGGCTGCAGAAATGGTCTATCTGGAAGGCTTATTCTCCACATCTTATTTGCCAAGGGACCCTGGACAGCCATGTGCAGGACATGCCGATGACTAAGATATTCTCAAGTGCATTCTCTTTTGACCTGGAGCTTGGGAAGCAATGCAAAGTATTCCCCTCCCACTAGCATCATCATGGCCCCTCACCTCTTCCTCTCCACAGTCACACTCTTCCCCATCTTCCAGGTACCCGTTCCCACACCTCCGGCCTCCGTACAGCGTCCTGGTATCTGGCATATTGGAGAGACACATTCCACCACCTGACTGCAGATACCTGTCCAGCTCCCTCCTGTTGCATCTGTTGAACACTCTGGGAAAGGGGTGCCTGGCAGAGGACAAAGCTGGAATTAGTCAGAGTCTTAGCATCCAGCAGCCAGCCAGTTGTCAACCCTGCTAACCTGTGGTGGCTGATTATACCTGGGCTCAGACTCCCGTGGTCCCAGGCACATATATTCTGTCCCCTTAGCACATTCATGATACATTAATTTAGAATTCTTTCATCCTTGATGATGAGATATCAACTCCCCATAATGTTTTATTTTTATCATTCTGCCCAGAAAATGTATTTGAGCATCAAGAGTAGCAATTTCTGCCCATTGCATGAGGGGGTTATAATAAGTTAACAGTTGTCGGTGTGTTACAATAGATCTCTTGAGCCTTCAAGCTGAATAAAGTACTAGCCGACTCAAACTTTTCCTGAAGCTGATATCAGATGGATATTTTCTTGGGACAGATGAAGAAGAGGCAAAAAAAAAAAAAAGGCCAAAATCATAGGTTTAATTTCTTTGTGGGCTAGTGATCTCGTCTCAATTTTAAGGCTGCAGAGGGTAATCCAAACTCAACCAGCCAATTCACAAATATATACATGCTCTTTTTCATAAGAGTGTGGAAGATCCTGGGTCCCCCTTTTGGGGAAAGGGCCAAAAGTACCACCATTTTGGTCTACAAAGAGAGAGTTATCCAAAGGGGAAACACTGGAGGATTCCTTCAGCAGTAAGGCATGCTGTAAGGAATTTGTTACTAATAATTATTAAAATTTGTAAAGAATTTTAAAAAATGGAGGAATAGTCCATGTCATCTCTCAATCATTTGTCTACAGATATACTTTTTATTTTTACTTTTATGTTTGAGACAGAATATCACTTTGTTGTCCTCGGTAGAGTGCCACGATGTTGTAGCTCACAGCGACCTCAAACTCTTGGGCTCAAGTGATCCTCCTGCCTCAGCTTCCCAAGTAGCTGGGCGTATAGGTGCCTGTCACAATGCCTGGCTATTTTTTTAGAGATGGGTCTTGTTCTTGCTCAGGCTGGTCTTGAACTCATGAGCTCAAGGGATCCGCCCACCTCGGACCCCCAGAGTGCTAGGATTATAGACATGAGCCACCATGTCCGGCCATATATTCTTTTTAGATTGAGAGAAAAAAGGGTAGACTTAACCATCAGCTCATTGGGATTTAAACACAACCCATGAATTTGTATACTAGTGTTAACATCATCCATTCTGTGTCACTGCCAAGAAGGAATTACAAAAAAAAAAGTACTAGACACCGGCACTCCAAGAAAGCAGCATTTCTTCTTGGAGATGTTGAAACCCCATTCTTTAAGAAGCGCAGGCAGGCCCTGATGGTTTAGGGTGCATCCAAGGTCCCACCCTGGATGACTTCCAAGAAGCCTAGAAGAACCCAGTGCCTTGTGCTGAGTCTAGACTTGAGAAGATAAGGCCTTAGAAGAAACTCCATGATTCTCTTTCAATGGCCCTGATTTTAAAAATCCTCATGACTCCTGGGGGATGCAGCTGCCTTACTCTTGCTCCTGCTCCCCAAGGAGTCCCTGTGGGGTATGTGGATGGTCCCCTTCCTTCAACTTGTCCTAGAGGCTACATCAGAGCTTTCAATCGAACCTGAGATAAAATACCATTAACCAAATTCCTTTGGGCTGCAAGGATTAAGGATTGTGGCTATTATTAAAAATGGTCATCATCAAAAATTCATGAAGTAAGAAAGATACATGTGGTCAGGCCAATTTTTCAGCTGAAGACCCTAAGAGAACAATTAAGTCTATCTAGGGTTTCACCAGCATGAAACCTCCTGCTGGAAACCTAGTGTTCCTTCCATACACTCACCTTCTTGGTCTTCTTTTAATTTCTTTGTTGTAAAAACCACATTTCTCTCCAAGACCCCACCAGAGGTGGGAGGAGCATCTGAGTCACACTGGCCAGGCATGCCCCATCCTGTTTGACTCACCCAGTGGCAGCTGCCATGATGCACCCGCCATCCGCTGCACTGGCTGAGCAGCAATCTGCAGAGTCGTGGCTCATGCCAAAGTTGTGGCCCATCTCATGGGCCATGGTGGCAGCCACACCAATGGCATTCTCGGAGTGGTCCTGCTCAGGGAGAGAGTTGGGGTAAGGTGATGGTTCCACCTCTGCCTCCCTTGTCTGCTGTTTCCTTAGCCAAGCCTGCAGGTCACCACCGATTCCCCCATCACTGAGCATATAGGCTCTCCACATGCTTTTGACAACAGGTCTAAAGCCACTGTCATTATTAGGATATCGTTTTTTTTTGTTTTTTTGTTTTTTTTTTTGTGATAGAGTCTCACTCTGTTGCCTAGGCTAGAGTACCTGGTGTCAGCCAAGCTCACAGTAACCTCACATTCCTAGGTTCCAGCAATCCTTTTGCCTCAGCCTTCCAAAGTGCTAGGATTACAGGCCTGAGCCACAGTACCGACCTAAAACACTTTTAGTTTTTATTTCTTACTATTCCTCAGCCCCTGGCTTAGAACATATGAGAGATCTAGTGATATATTCATGCAATCAATTCTGGGTTCTCCTGAGCTTGAAAATCAGGAGTAAATTACAGTAAATGAAAATTCACCCTTGGGTACCGCCATCTCTTGGAAATTAATGACTTCATTTTAAACAGTTGCATTTCCTGATGTTCAGGGAGTACAATAATAAATCTCAAATTATTTTTTAAAAGATGACTCCCTGCCTTGTGAGGCCGTTTTAAAGCCCTGTGCAGCACAACATACTGGCTGGGACTCACCATGTTGACTCCTCCGGATTGGTACACAGAGCACATGGCCATGAGGGGGGCCAGGCCGATGGTGGTGCCATGGAAGGACATGCCCCTGCAGGAGAGAAGGGCAGGGAGTTGCTCAGGTGGGGACTAAGGGATGTTCCAATGTGCCCAAGAGGAGGTGGCCAAGGGTATTACTTGGCCCTATTGAAATTCCCAGGTCATTCCCAATGGGGGAGGTCCTGGTATCTGGGCCAAATGGACAACTTCCAGATCGCCACACCTTGCACTTCCTCTCACCTACTCCCTCTCTGCTCCATGGAAATAGAAAGAAAGAACAAAAGGTCACTCTTTCCCCCCACAATATGCCCACAGCCAATTCTCCTGAAGGAAATGGGCAGGGCTTGCAAAACTGCATCCCATTCCTGTCACACAGGAAAAAGTTAGAGGGGAGGTTGAGGGGGTGAGGGGAGGGTGGCACAGGTTCTGATGCTGGAGTGAATCAGGCCCACTTCCGCCAGCTGCCAGGGTCCCACAGCTTATCACAGGCTCTGTGGTGTGTGTCCTGGGGGTCAGGAGGGAGGGACGGGGGCAGCAGCTGTGTGGCTGATGCTCTGTTCCCACATCAATCTGGGGCCAGGGAAACAGCTGTGTCCTGGCAGAGGCCTCCCAAAGTGCAAGTGGCACGGGGATGAGCTGTCCTGCCTTTGTTCTGCAACGATGATGCTTGTCTGCCAATGGCAAGCTACATTTTGTGTCGTTTAACCATCCTTCCCTCAACTGCATATATCTAGGGTAGGGGAGAAGGAATCAATCAAAAACCAGTGTTTCTGTACATGCCATGAACATGTAATCCATTTAAGGGATCTATATGGAGATGTGTTACACGATTCTCATCTCCATGTTTGTCTTCTCATCTAGACCATGATAGCTTCGGAGTAAGACCATCTTACTTATTTTGGGATCACTAGAACCTAGCACAGAATCTAACACAGTGGAAGCATAATAAATATTTGCTGAATTAAAGGCAGACTTATATTCAGAGAAACAATCTGCAAAGAAATATGCAAAATATATGCAAATCTATATGAAGCCCAACTGGTTACTTTCTAAACTTAGACAAGGCTCTGAGGAAGCCCTCCTGGAAACTCAGATTCAAGGTCTGGCTTAAAGCGAGACACCAGACTTCCAAAATTTAGGCCAAAAGATATGGTAACTAAGATTCTTTAGTAACGAAAGACTCTTCCTAGATGAATGTCCTATCATGAAATAACCATTCACTGCCCAGGTTTCTATTTTCCCTGGTTTCTTTAAAGGGTAAACCAAGATTTAAATGATCATTGACTTAGAGCTATACTTAGGAACTGCAAAAAAATGAATTTATTATTTTATTATCTATATGCCTTTTGTTATAACTGTCTCAAAATATCTTTAGAAGTAAACATTAATAAATACCAAATAATCGCCCTCAAGGGACTGCCATGTTCCACCATAACCTCCACCAATTTCTGATCTTTTCTCTCTGGGACTGAGGGAAATGCAGCACAATCCCGCCTCAAGGTCTCCCTCCCACCAAACACACAGCTCTATGCTCTTCACCACTTTGACGATCTCAGGTGAGCCCTATGCCTCTTGGGAGCCAAGTGGAACCCCCTCTCCTGTACCTGTGCTGAGAGATTAGCTCATGGACTGGAACAAAATGCTGAGAAGAACAAGATGAACTCCTTATAAAGTGGCCCATGACCATAGTCAGTCACTTCCCAAATACATATTCAACTGTTTCAGATGCCCAGCTGATTATGAGATCACTAGATCTCTAAACTATAAGACCTAAGTTATGACTAGGTCACAAAATTATAAGTCTAATTTTCTCATATAGATCATAAACCCTTATAACATTGTGACCCTTAAGCTTTTTCATACTTTCTGGGGTGTGCTGGGTACAAAGTACATGTGTGGTAAAGGCCTGATCACCTGGACCAGGGAACCAGGATGGCTTTGTACAACCAACCTTACCAGTGGGGAAAAGACAGACTCAAACTCTGAGCACACACACTACGGGCAGAGCTTTGCAGCCAAGGCCAAACGAGACACATATGGAAAAAGGCTATTTACGTGATTAATTGTGCGTTGTCATGGTTCTTCTGGGCAAGCAGCTTGCGCCTCCAGCTAAGAAACGACCAGAGGGTAGAGTATGGATTCTCCGAAACTTCACACATGTTGCCGTGAGTCCACACTTCCAACCCCACGAGAGCAATCCGGATGTTCAAGGATCGGTAAAACTGAAAGGGCACACAGAAAAGCCAAAGCATCTGTCAACGCCACCTGGGATGCAAAAGCCCCTTCCCAGCCTAAGAACTCAGAGCATGGATACCAGATTTCTCTTCTGCCCCAGGCTGTAAGGGGATGCGGAAACAAGTATTACTGATGTTTTTTCAGAAGGGGAAACATGAGATCCTGAGAGAGACGCACAACGTTTTGAAGGCAGGACTTGGGTGACTTTGCTTAGAGAACACTGAGATAGGACGTAAAGTTGCTTTCAAATTATGTACAGAGCTTGCATGTGGAAAAAGGATCAGCGTTGCTCCGCGTGATTCTCAAGTAGGGCTTAAATCAACAGATAAAGCAGACAGGAAGATAAATTTCATTTTAAAATAGGAAAAGAGCTTTCAAACAAAGCTGGTCATGAGTAAGCTTTGCTGTCTTTTGCAATAAGCATCGTTGGCCTGGCTCCCCGGGAAAATTTCCTCTCCCAATTCCTTACTTGGCCCTTACCTTTTTAATATTTATTTTAAAAATTATCTTCTATGTGGTTTCTTTAAAAACAACTTTATTGCGGTATAATTTACATGTCATAAAAATCCACCTATTTTAACTGAACAGTTCAGTATTTGTTAGTACATTTACAAAGTTATTCACCCATCGCCATAATGCAGTTTGAGAATATTTTCATCTCATCAGTAAGATCTGTCCTGTCCATTTAAAGTCATTTCCCATTCTTATCCTCAGGCATCCAGTAATCTACTTTCCGCCTCTACAGATGTGCTTTTTCTAAAAATCTTTTTTGTAAACAGAATCATATCATATATGATCTTTTGTATCTGGCTCCTGCCACTTAGAACAATGTTTTTGAGATTCACACATCCAGTTTGTCATTCCTTTTGATTGCTGAATAATATTTCATTATATGGATTTACCCCGTTATATATGGTATTTTATTGTAAAATGTCTCCAACTCATTTTGGAAGTAAGTGAGTATTAATGATACACAAGTGGATAAACAGGCTTCCTTTCAAGCGCTTCCTTTGGCCAGGCGCAGTGGCTCACGCCTGTAATTCTAACACTCTAGGAGGCTGAGGCAGGAGGATTGCCTGAGCTCAGGAGTTCAAGACAAACCCGAGCAAGAGGGAGATCCATCTTTACTAAAAATGGGAAAAGTAGGTGAGCACTGTGGCAGGCACCTGTAGTCCCAGCTACTTGGAAGGCTGAGGCAGAAGGATCACCTGAACCCAGGAGCTTGCTATGAACTAGGCTGATGCCCTGGTACTCTAGCCTGGGGCAAGAGAGTGAGACTTTGTCTCAAAAAGCAAGAAAACAAACCAAAAAAGTTTCTTTCTCTATCCCTGGAGGGATTCTGGTTTTGTCAGAGATACCAGGATCAGATTGTGAGCACTAGACTGTAAAAAGTCCTTATAATCTTCAGGGTTTTGTCCAACCCAGAGATCCAGAAATTCTATAAATAAGACCTGAACTCTTGACCTCCTTAAGGATAGAGCCACATCTAACCTTTATGACCTGTCATCTTCTATCTCATACAAACATAAGCAGGAAGGGGGTTTTGTTTAAAGCTAAACCACTGGAGGTATGAGTACAAGCAGGAGAACTATCTTATTCTGAAATTGGCAGGTACTGCCCCAGCTAAAAATAATAATCAGAGCACCGAAGTTTATTAAGAGTTTTCTATGTACTAAGCACTGAGGCTTAGAGAAGTTAAAGAACTTGGCCTAAGTCTCACTAGGAAGGTGGTGGAGCCAGGGTGAAGGCCCAAATTATGACCCAGAGCCGGCTCTTGACCCTATCCTGCTTAAATGTGGCAGTATATTCAAACTGCCCTTGAACAATGGAAGTCTTAGCCTCCAGATTCAGTAAAATGGCAAGTATATTTCAATGGAAATTTTAATTTTTCTGTTTTATGTAAGGTCAATCATTAGGGAAAATAAAGGGTTTGGATTCCAGTTTGAATTTGCTTTAGCGGGGAATTTGTTTTTTAAGGAAGTAAACTTAGCTTTTTCACAGTTAAGGAAAAACATTTTAGAGTGGGTTCATGATTCAGCAAATTAATATAGTTCATTCCAGTTTTAGTTCAGTAATAGTTCAGTTTGAGCAGCTGGGTCAGCAAGTTTCAGAGAAGCGGGTGTGCCTTCCTCCACCTCCGCCGGGACTCACTGAGGAGAGAACCAAGAAGGCACCGGCCAGCCAGGCCCTGGGCTTCAAGTAAGGACTGGGTTTGCTGCTGCTTCTCTGCTCCCTGCACTTTCCCTCAGCACCCTCAGTTCTGTCACCTAGCCCAGCTGCGGAACTTACAAAGGGAAGATCCAGCCATGTCCCCCACCTGCCAAGTCTCCAAACAATAGATAACCTGTGGTGAGAGCAGGGTCCACCTCTGATATTCCTCCCAGGAAAACAAGCTTTCCTTGTTTTCCCAGATGTTGAGTGTTTGGGTTGTAGGATTACTTAAAACATTATTGTTGAGTGATTTGGGAGCCAGAGAGAGGACTGGGCTGTGTCCCTAGAGTCCTTCTTTCCAGGAAATGCCAATGTTTTGACTTTCACCTGTCACTGGTCATTGATCTGTGTTTCCATAGACATTTAGAGCAGAACAAAAACATAGGGCATAGAAAGTGCCATCTGATGACAGCAGAACACACAAATTTGCTTGGTAATCCCTAAAAAATGTTTTATTCTCTAGTCTTTAGGGAAAAAATTATTTCCCCTTTAGACATAGGATTCACGAATACCTTGCAGAGCCAGAATTAAGCTAGAGAAGTTTTATGAGTGTTCTAAAGTTGTATAATAAATGTTATCAGATTCTCAAAGAGACTTGTGATCCAAACCCATTAAAACCTTCTTTTAAAAACCATATTCTACTAGCCTATCAAGAGGCGACTGTCATTGCAGTTACCTACACTACTCTTGAATTTTCTACTATAACAAATATCCTTTTTCAGACATACAAAGTATTTCTAAGTCCTAGACCAGCCTGTCCTAGTAAAATTAAAAAATGTGGCTATTTCTTAAGAACATGTTGAAAAATTCCTGACCTGGGAAAGTTAACCACTCACATATCCTCACTAAGAGACCAGAAATAATGTTAGGATAGCTTTGCAAATGAAGACTTTACAGACTGGCCCCAAACAAGCCAATTCTCAATGTTGAAGTATATTTTCCCTCCCCTGACTCACCTCCATGCCCTATGTCAGAGAATCCCTGGGCTTTATACCTGGAAGCAACTTTTAAGAACCCTAAAAATTCCTAAACTGGGCTCCTCCCTGCCCCAGGTTCCTCAGGAGCCATATCTGAATTTTATACTAGACCATAAGATTTCATTTTTTTAAAAAAAAGATTCTACAAGGAAAATAAGAATAACAAAAAGCCATTGACTGAAGACAACTCCTCTATTTTATACATTCAAATAAAACAAAACAAAAAATGTGCAGCCCAAAGGAAATGAGTTACTTGCCTGAGGTTACATAGTTTGGGGCTTTGTCATGCCCACCCTGAGCCACTAAGGCATTGTTCATTCCCTTTCAGAAGCTGGGTGGGGCTTCCAATCCAGCAGAAACCAGCTCAGGCGCCACGTGGTCTCCTGCCCTGTGGCCCCTCTGAGGTGCTGGTACCTGCCACCTTTCCCACAAAGTACACACCTGGTCTCACCTTATCAACATAGTTGGCGATCTCCATGAGCTTGTGTTTGGTGGCATCCTGGTCTCGTCGATTCTTCTGAAACTAAATGGGACAAGCAGAACCAGGTGAGATCCCAGAACCTCTTACAGGACCTTTCCTATGCCCCATGCTTTGTCTTTGAATGTGTTCTTATTTAATTCTGTCTTCTATGAGCAGCCATTTTTATGGAACTATCTTCCCTACCACAGTGACAGCTCATGGAGAATAGGACCTGGTCACAACCATATCTTGATATTTATCCCAGCTACTAGCTCGGTGCAGGGCATACATTAGGCATACAATAATTGCATAATGAATTGAACTGTACTCCTCTAACCCTTGGAGGGTCATCCAGATACCTTATCTTGGTATCTATCCCAGCTACTAGCTTGGTGTAGGGCATACAGTAGGCATGCAATAATTGCATAATGACTTGAATTGTCCTCCTCTAACCCTTGAAATAAATCTTACTCTCTTGCACCCCAAATCACAAGGCTTCTGGCAAACTCCCATTGGGGGTTAGAAAAGGGACTGATCTAACCCTGGCTTCCTTCTATGTGGCCAATCGACACTGGTCAGATTATTGCAAGGCCTTGTGCTTAACATTAAGTGGGACACAAACAAGTATGAGATCTTGGCCCTTGCCTAGAGGAGCTTCAATCAAAACAGAGAAAGGACCAGAAATAACTACAATGACAGATCCTGTATTTAAGGGATATAAACTTGAAATGGGCTGAGAACACATGCACACAAGTAACCACAATGTGTGGCCACGTGACAGACAGACACATGATGGTCTACAGGGTATTGTAGTCCTCCTTATCCATAATGGGTATTGGGTGCCCATTATGGATACTGGTAAGGAGGACAACAAAACATTGGCAAATACACTTCATCTTGCATGCCACTGAGATCTGCTGGCAGTGCCGTCCACAGTAAGGATTCTGAGGCTGCATCAGGCAGAAATCAGATATTTCTAATAAAGCCCAGAAATGAGAGCTGTGCTCCACTAGAGATGCCTGGTGTGGGTACCAGGAGCAGGATATTCCAGTAGGAATGCCTCAGACTTACATTCCTCTTTCGCTTACAGTGATGAAGGAAAACTTCACAGTGTAAAGAAAAAAATCTGCTACAGTTGCAAATTAAATTTGTAAATGATGGCCATGTCTTGTACACAGCCATGGTCATACACAGCCATGGTTACCTAGAATCTGGATACCTATTTAATTTACCCTGGGTACCCACTATACGTGTTCCTTCGATTTCAAACCCTCACTTTCTTCCTCCACCCCATCCCACAAAACAGTATCAAAGCAAGAAACAAAAGCAACAGGCAAATCAGCACCCTGAGATCTTTGTTTGGCTGGTTGTGCTCTTCCCAGCTTGGACGCAGGGAAGAAATCCACCTTTCCCCTTCTCCCACTGTTTTTGGGCTTCCTTAGAACTGTCACTCGATAGAATAGAATCTCACTGCTACCACTGATTTCAGTGTGACACCTTGTGACTCAGACCTTTCCAGAACTGCCTCCCATTTCTAAATTAGTCCCATAGCACAGAAAGTGCTGCTGAATTTCCATTCATTTAGTAAATATTTATTAGAACATGAGGGCCCAATTTTATTATCTTTCAAACATATTAATCCTATGTTTAAACAATTGCCCAACTGGGACTCCATAATTTAAGGAGTGTATCCTGTTGTCCAGAATAGTCTTGAGTAAGACTTAGTAAACCTCTGTAAAGGCCAGAGAGTAAATACCATGTATTTTAGGCTTTGTAGGCCATATGTCTCTGCCATAACTACTCAGTTCTGCTGTGGTAACCTGGAAGCATCCATGGACAATACTTAACAATGGGTGGCTGTGTTCCGGTAAATCTTTGTTTATAAAAACATGTGGTGGGCTGGATTGGCCATGGGCTGTAGTTTGCAGACCCCTGGTCTGGAGAAAGGAATATCTCCACTTTACGTTTTCTGGGGTGACACAGAAAGTACAACATGGTGCAGCACCATCCTTTCCTGGCTACCCGGCACTCTGCTGGTCTTGAGGTCCCTTACAGCCTGCGTCTACAGCTATCCTGTCCCCCTCCTGCAACATCCCACCTTACTGTTTGTTCCACTTGGATCCTGTTCCACCATGAACAAGGCAAGAACCACCCCAGCAGCTCCCCTAAGGCAGGGAGTGAGGAGCTGCCTGCTCACTTGTACTGCAGACAAGTCTCTCCAGGCAGCAGCACTACGTGTCTGCGCCCTGCTCTGAGTTCAGAGCCCAGAGGAGGAGGCTGTCCTATCTCAGCACCAGGTTGTAAATCACCCGAAAGCAGGCCTCCCCTCCCCTGTCTTCTCATCCTCTCATATTAATTAATTGTCAGAAATACATTTCTGCCTGCAGAGCATGAAAGGCCCCTGGGAAAGGGGGTAAGGGGAGAGCGTAGGGACCCAGCCTGGCCTATTACGTCCCTACCCACCCCCTCACATGGACCACCCAGAGCCTTCAGCTCAGGGCGCCCAGAACCCTGAGATATGAGCACATTCCCTTAGCTCATGAATCACAGCCCTGTTGGGAGCCCAGAGCTGTTGCTAAAGACTGTCTCTTCTAAAACAGGCCTGGAGGTCCCTTGAGCAGACCCTTTTCCTCAGGGGCTTGCTGTGACCCCAGAGGTCAGAAGACAAAAGATGTCCAATTCCTGTCCTACTCCCCACTTCTCTGGCTGCTGGAGACTCACACCCAGGGGTTTCAAACCCCGCTCAGAGATTCCTCTGGGGGCAAGGTAAGGCCAAAGGAGAGAAATACTCACTTTTAAACCCAGAGAATCTGGGTTTCTGTGTGCTAGACTATTGGAGTCCTCAGGAGCTTTTATGTGAATAAACGATTCTGTAGCCGGGAAAAAATAGTGGCTCAAGACCACCCTACTAGATGATCTTAGATAACACAGAGGCTAAAGGGAAAAGTGTTCCAGAGTGCGAGGAGTCCAGCTTTCTCCTAGCTACCTTCCCACAGTAGGGGCAGTCCTGCCAGGCAGGCTGGGTTGGTCACTTCCTCCTACGACTGTGGAGCCTGGGCGGCCTTTTACACCAGCTTTGGGTTCTGTTCCCCACACCACTCCTCCATCCTATCCACATACTAGTCTTTGGAGAAGAAAGAAAAAAAATGTAAAACACACACACATACGCAAGGCTGCTGGAAAAACCAATACTGACATTAATTAAAAAGCTAAACTCTTCTCAAAGCAGAACACAATGTTCCCTCCGCCTGGAATGCCCTTCACCTCCACTTCTGTGCCCAGTTAACTCCTCCTTGTTCTTTAAGGCAGCTCAAGGGCCACCTCCTCTTGTCAGTAACATCCGGTCACGGGCACTCAAAGGCCTTCTGGCCTGAAATCTAGTGTTCTTCCCACACCTGGCACTGTCCCCAACATCCGTGTTTCAAGATTGTTACTAGGTAGAGCCACTTTAGAATGAGGCTTTCTGGGGAGCTCACAACTAAACTCTTTGGGTGGGGTACAGACAGACTGGAGTTGTGATGTGTTCTGTCCTCTGGGCCCCACGGCCAGTGTGTACAGTGTTAGACACCGTGAGGGCTCAGCTCATCATAATGTCCCGTGCACAGAAGACGTGTTTAGCTCTATGGTTGGTCAGTACATAAAGGGAGGATTAGAGTAACATCGGGCTGATTTAAACAAATATGGATTCTGAGGCCTGAACCCCTCCTTCAGGTATCAGCTTCAACATCAATGCCTCAGGGACTTTTCTCATTTCTGCAAACCATACTGGATCCTTTCACCTGCACTTGAAAACTCCCCAAGGGTCCATCTTACTGGTTAACACACTTTCAACCTATAGTTTGTGCTGTTACTATAACACAGTAACTGTTGTGACTTGTATTTAACTTATGCTAATTTGGAGCCTGGGGCCCTGAGAAGCATATTTAACTCGCATGTCTCTTGATTTATCTTAAGCTAATAAAACAACATGGTCCCAAGGAAAAAATATTTTTTCCTAGCGTGGCAGTCAATATGATAAACTGCCATGCCAGGGATGGGGCTGTCTGCTTGACAGCTATATCATCTAGTGCCAAGCGCTATTCTTGGCACATAATAAAAAAAAAGAAATTAAGAAATGATTGATGAATAAGTGTATGGAAGGTATGATGAGCTAGGTGAGTGTTCATGACATCTTAGAACTTAATTTAGGGAACTCGGAGTTAAAGGCTTAAATGCTATTCTTTTAGATCAGTAGCTCACACACTTACCTGTGCATCAGAATCACCCAGAGGTCTTGTTAAAACATGGATTGCTGGCCCCCACCCTGAAAGTTTAGGGTTCAGTAAATCTGGGGTAGGGCCCAAGAGTTTACAAGTTCACAGGTACTGATGATGTCTAGAAGATCACATTTTGGGACAATGGATTTAGGTCCTCATCTAGCACCTATGTGATTATAAAAATGGACTCACATGTGAGCAAAAAAAGCATTCAGTCAGATAATTGAGAATATATTTCTTATTTGTAAAAAAAAGAAATTTTAAAATTTCTATAGATAATTCATAAACCCTAAGATAAACATCAAATCTAAAGGTCTTTAGACCCAATTCAAGAAATATTAATCCTGCCTGGGTGTGGTGATTCACACCTGTAATCCTAGCACTGCGGGAGGCTGAGGCAGGAGGATTGCTTGAGCTCAGGGGTTCAAGACCAGCCTGAGCAAGAGTAAGACCCTCTCTCTACTAAAAATAGAAAAAGTAGCCTGCGTTGTGGTGAGCGCCTTTAGTCCCAGCTACTCAGGAGGCTGAGACAAGAGAATCCCTTGAACTCAGGAGTTTGAGATTGCTGAGAATAAGGCTGAGGCCAGGGCATTTTAGCCTGGGCAACACAGTGAGACTCAGTCTCAAAAAGAAAGAAAGAAAGAAAGAAATGCTAATCCAGATAATTGTCCTGATTTTTCCATCCAAATAATGTATCAAGCCAGGAAAGGGTTTGTTTCCTTGTGGGTTTTTTTTTCCTTCACAACTATATTTAAAATAGCAAAAAGAGCCCTTAGTAAGATCTTAGGTCAAAATCATGTAATAAACCAGAGAAGGATGAACATGTCAGCATTTCCCCAAAGCAGTTTAAAGCCTGGAATGGAAGTATCAAGACAGCAGTTTTTCTGCTAAAGCCATTGCCTCTCCCTTACCTCTGCATAATCAGCCACGAGGTAAAGCTCCACGTACTTCATAGAGTGTAAATCTTCCCTTTTCATCTAAGAAAGAGACAGAAGCAGATCAGAACTATAGAAATGGTGGGCTTGAAACAGAGCTGGTGAACGAACAGCAGGCTTCCATTCTGATTCTATCCTTGGCACTAGAGACAGTTCTGGCTGTGGTGGCCCCACCCTCATTAATACCTTCCACAGCTATTGGGTTATCCCTGGAGGCTGCTTTGGCATCCAGGATCCAGGCCTTTATTCTCAAAAAATACTGAGGTGGGGCCAGGGGTAGTGGCTCACACCTGTAGTCCTAGCACTCTGAGAGGCAAAGGAAAGAGGATTGCTTAAGCTCAGGAGTTGGAGACCAGCCTGAGCAAGAGTGAGACCCTGTTTCCACTAAAAATAGAAAAATTAGCACATACCTGTCGTCCTAGTTACTTAGGAGGCTGAGGCAGGAGGATTGTTTAAGTTAGAGGTTGCTGTGCACTATAACACCATGGCACTTTACCCAGGTGACGGAGACTCTGTCTCAAAAAAAGTAGTACCGGGTGGATCTGGCCAGCACAGGCAGAGTAGAGACTATCATACTGTGAGGGAACATGCTGACAAGCAGGTTCCTAAATAATCTTGAAACCACAACCTCTATTTTCAGTACGAATAAATACAAGCATTTGTGAATATGGGAAAGTGGCAATTCAAAAAGGGAAGACATACTTTTGTTTCAGTTTTTAAAATTTATGAAATCAGCATCTCAGAGTATTTTAAATATAGTATTGTTTCCCCCTGAAGCAGTTATTTTATTATGAGAGTATCTCACGCTCAGTAATGACTTAGAATAAAAAAAGAAAGTAACTTCCTCCTTCTTAACCATCACCCTTTCCATTGAGAAATACTCCTGGATTCAAAGTAAAGGTCCTCAGAGGAGACAAGCCTATGCCCAGGTTGATTCCTGCACCACGAACCTCAAAACTCACCCTGCGAGGTCGTTTCTTGGTCTGGTGTGTAAACTGAAGGGCCCAGTCCCTGGTGGTGAGCTTGGAGTGCTCAAACCCGCAGTTTCCTGGGGGCAGCTTGAGATGTTCAGCTCTGTAGATTAGGTGTTGGCCCTCGCTGTCAGGGAGGGGCTCGATGATGTAGCTGAGGTTACTGCTCACCATGATGAGTCCTCTGTGGATAGGAGAAATAGAATCTCTGGTCACAGATTATGGTCCTGGAAAAGTGCCTAGCATAGGGCTTAGTTTCCCCATACGCAAAATGTTAGTTGGTTTTGATCAATGTTTATTAACCTTATTAGGGGGTCATGCATCCCTTTATGAGGATCCAATGCAAGCCCAGACCCCTCTCTAGAGAAATGCACATGTGTATAAAGTGTAGTGCACAATCTCAGGACACCTGGACTGCCAAGGCTCATCCTGTGACTCCAGGTTAAGGTACTTCGAGAGTAAAGCAGTGAGCAGGTGATTGGATATTGCTCTGAGCGAGCCCTCCTGCTTCAGGAAGGAACCAAACAACTACTCTGAAGGGGCAAGCCTAGTCTGCAGCCAGTAGCCTTCCCTCGCACCTCCCTGCTCCTCAGACACATATGTACCTGGAGAAAAGAGGGGGAAAGAGTGAAGGGAACCAGGCACTTGTGTTAAGAGTGCAATGGGGGGCGGTGCCTGTAGCTCAGTGAGTAGGGCACTGGCCCTATATACCGAGAGTGGCAGGTTTGAACCCGGCCCCGGCCAAACTGCAACAAAAAATAGCCAGGTGTTGTGGCAGGCGCCTGCAGTCCCAGCTACTCAGGAGGCTGAGGCAAGAGAATCACCTAAGCCCAGGAGTTGGAGGTTGCTATGAGCTGTGACAACAGCACTCTACCGAGGGCGAGAAAGTGACCCTCTGTCTCTAAAAACAAACAGACAAACAAATAAATAAATAAAAAGAGTATAATGGTGAGGAAATCCCTTGAGTCACGTCGGCTATTATTAAAGGTGCTTCTACATTCGAGCACTCTTCTAAAAAGAGAGAGAGAGAAAGACTCTCTAGACTAGAAAAGCCCAGAAGGTTCTAAAGAGGCTGCACCCAGGACATTTAATGCTTACAAGGGTGGAAGGACAAGAATTCCAACAGGCCTCCCAAATCCAAACGTGCATATGACAAATAACAGCTCAAAACTGTACAGACTCAAGAAAAGCAGCCCAGGGGCCAGAGAAAGAACAAACACTGGTCTACAGATAAGGAGAGCCACGTTCAGGATCTCCCTCCAACACTCAATTGTCACGTTTGTTCAACAAACATTTTAAATTTCTCTGAGCCTCAATTTCCTCATGCCCTAAGTGGAAATAACTTGTCAGGACTCTTGGATGATTAAATGGAAAGACAAGTGTCCTTGAACTTGGAAACCAAAGCTAGAAGCAACACTGATGCCATGCCTACTAGTCCCGACTGTCCCTTGTCAGCTATCTGGAGAAGTAACATCCATTACCAACCAAGTGTGACTACCTTTTCCCCCTTGATTACAGGTGCTAGCATTGACTTCCAAAGAAAGAGGTCTTCATTCATTTTATTCTTTCACTCACTGAGCCCTTACTCAGTCCTAGACACAATGTAAACATAATCCTTGTCCTCAAGTAATTCTCAGGCCGTTGCAGGACCATCATTTATGCCACAAACATTTACTGCACCTGTGATGTGCCAGGAAACATACTAGCTGCTGAGAATGGAGCAGGGGACAAGACAGACAGAGCCTATGCCCACATGAAGCTTAGAGTCTAATCATATCATATATAGCAGAGATAGCAAAAAGGCCACATCACCCCTAAGACTGATGGATTGATGCGTTTGTTTAGAATGTTCCATCCAGGCTTCTGTGGACTTAGCTAGCCTCAGTGAGGAGAGCCAGGGCTGATTGTCTATTGCTATCACAAATGATCAATGAAGGGTGAGTAGAGGCCCATGTATCCTTGTTACAGTGAGAGGAATACAGAGACAAGGGAATATTCTCAAGGCTCTGTGGGAGTAGGAAACCTAGGAAGCATTTCATGTGCTCCAAAACATCCTGCAGGCTCTCATTCACCCAGAGAGCTCAAAACTTACAGGATCTCCAACTCAGAGTCTTTGCCACTATCTCAGACTGTCTCAGCTTCCACCCCTAATACAATCCCCATGGGATCCCCTTCCAGGGTTTGCCCTTTGGAAAGAGGCTGCGATGCTCTCAGGGAATACAGTGCCAGGCTCTGATCAGCAGCAGCCCTTCCCAGAGTCCATCCCTGGCTGACTTCATTCTAGAGCCAGGGAACCTGATGACTTCCTGGCTGCTTCACCCAGGCTGACACAGCAAATCCAACCAACACCCAGTGAGGCACCTAAGGTACTCCCTGGACAGCTGAGGATGGGAGTGGGGCGAAGGGCAAGGGCCATATCCACTCCCTAATCCAGACAGGAAAGGGCAGAGGGGAGCACTGCCACAGGCATCCTGTTCCCAAGTTATCTCCCCATCCCAGCTGTCCAAGGCCTGGCCCATCACCTCAGTTTCCCCTAGTGGCTACAGGCAGAGGGTGTGACCACAAACCACCAATGGTTCTGTATGCATCAGGTTGTGGCTGCCCAGAGAATGGAAAGTTCCATATAGGAATCAGGGAAGCTCCAGTGTAAGGTCACAAGGTGCAGCTGGCCTGGCATCCCTTGAACGAGCCTCTGGGCCTAACAGGACAGAGACCAAGCCTAAGTTTGGTGCATGATAAATAATAATAATCACAGTGGCCAGAGATGACCAACCCTTTTCTATAGACTAGGCACTGTGCTAAGCATTTTACTATTCACAACAGCTTCTGGGATCCTTGCAACTATTATCTTCAACATACAAAATGGTAAAACTAAAGCTCAGCAAGTTTAATTAATTAGCCCAACATTTCAGAAATACTAAGAGTAGGGGTTTGAACCCCAGCATTCTGGTTCATCCTAAGTCTCAGAACCTTATCTCTGATGGTATACTACCTTGGTCACAATAGCCCTGCAGAGTGGATCAGAAAGATACCCCCAGTTTACAGATGGCTCAGTGATGGTGATAGCAACTCTCCTCTGTGGTGTGACTACTGCCATGCAGCTGGCCTGTCTGAAGTCAGATCCTCTTCCTTGAGAGACAGGAAAGAGGCATGCAGTCCACTTTTCATCATCTTCAGGTATCATTTATTGAGAGCTAACCAGATGCCAGGCCCTGTACTGCAAACATTATTCTTATTTCATTCCCACATCCATGTTATATGGTAGGTACTATCATAAATTCCATTTTATAATATGGAAACTGAGGTTCAGAGAGATCAAATAACAAGCTCTCACAGGGAATCTGGGGCCAAAGACTTAAGGTCTGGCCCCTAGGCCCTTAATCTCTATGCTCCCGGCCTCCATCAGTGCTTTCTACTGTACTTGTCAGAGATTTCTAGGATTGGAGGTCCCAGGGACATCTAACAGAGTATTCTACAGTATATTAGAGATGTAGATGTCTGGGTCCAACCTAAAAGACCTGATGCTGCAGGCCTGAGTGTCCACGCCACGGACAAGTCTCACGGGCAATTCTCTGCGCAGTCACACTCAGGAACTGTGGCCTGGAGCCACACACTGCTGTAGAAGCTTGCTTGCTTTTCCCGAGGGCCTGAGCAATGCTGTTTCAGGGCACAGGCAGATTACAGTGTGAGAAAGGCAGGCTCAGGACACTGAAGTCCTTCCATCTACAGGATCCCATGGACACTCCCCTCTTGTCTGTTAACTGTAATCTACTCTGTGTCACAGTTACAGTCCTCCCAGACTGCCTGGGGACAGAGGTTGGCCCCAGCACTTACAGTGAACCCCAGCTTTGTTGCTGGAGGAGTTTCCCAGCATGTGGTTCCAGGGGCCTTCCCTAGCCACCACCCAAGTCCTCTAGCTGCTCTCCCTGGGTACCGCCGGTCACTGGTCCTTCTAGGAGCTGTGGTTGATCTCATTTGCTAAATACTAGTATTGGCAGGGGCAGAACCCAGCAGGAGGCACGAGTGGGCTCCAGGAGGCTGGGTGGCTGGGACCTCATACGCTTGTCCGTTCTGTTCTCCGTCCTGTTCCTCACCTTAAGCGCTAGACACAAATGAAACTGTACAGAAGAATAGTCCAGGCCAGGCAGTTAGCCAGCAATTCATGTTTAATCCCTGAATAACCTACAGACTCACCCAAATGCATCCTTCTAGGAACTAGGCAAGAATGGCTGCCTGGGAACTTGTCCATTCAGAGCTAAACCCAAAGGAACTCATCCTACACCCCTACACCTAGAGCTGCCCTAAGAGGCGACCACCCTGTAACCTGTCTTTCCTCTCCCCTTCCCTTCAATTTGCATCCACGTGAAAGGAGTTTCAGGGAACTTCAGAGGCAGCAGAGCAGAGGAGGCACACAAGTGATGTCCCCTCTCTGGGATGGGGTGGCAGGGCACAGGTAGAGACCACAGGATCAGGAGTGACACCTGGATTCACAGCCTGGCTCTGCTGTCTACTAGCTGTGCAGTAAGTTATGGAGTAACACTGCCTGTCTCCAGGGTTGCTGTGATGGCAGACTGAAGTAACAGGCAATGTTTACTCATAACCAAAGCAACACTTTAAAAGAACAGCTAAAGTCACTGAGCCCATATTGTACATGGAGCAAGGTGCAAAGCATCTTACTTTACAGCCATTCAACAGGCCTACACTGAGAACCTACCATGTGACAGGGGCTGTTCCAGGCGCTGGGAACACAGCACAATCATAACAAAGTTCCTGCTGTCCAGACCTGGCCATCATCTCCTCATATAAATCCACCAGTGATGTGGATATTGCTGTTTCCATTATACAGGTGAGAAAACTGAGGCTAGAGAACTGAAGTAGCTTGTCAGATTTTAAGCCAGGATCCGACTCTAGAATCTAAACTTGTCACAACTCAATGGTACTGCCCTCTGAGGGCTTAATCTGCAGAGTGCAGATCCACAGAGGTGGCATTTATTATCTGCTCTGTGGAAGGCAAGTGAGGTATCTAGAGGGAGAAAGAACATGCTACTTCTTATGGGTTGGCTGCATGGACACGGTGTCCCAAAGGTAACCCGTAAAGTTGCCATACATGGGAAAAATGGGAAATCCTAGCTACACGTACCTTTATTTATAAAATATTTATTGCAAAATTTCACAAATATTTAT